GCAGGAACTCAGTAACAATTTTATGAACTATGAAATATGTCAACAAAAGAAGTAGAGCACCTTCTTTATAAATTGTTTTCGTGTATTCAGAAAGAGTTGAGTGAGATTTTTTTTTTTCCCCAGTTATCACTGGAAATTATTTTAAGTTGTATTATTTGACTTGCTGGTGCATAGATAAGTTTACTTTTAGATCAAGACAATATTTCTTTTAAGATGTCAATCATAGAATCATAGAATCGTTTAGGTTGGAAAAGACCTTTGAGATCATCCAGTACAACCATTAACCGAACACTACCAAGTCCACCACTAAAACAATTAAGTGTAGAGTAATAATTTCATGTTTCCTGGCTTGGTGGCTGGATTATTTTTAATGAAAGTAAAAACTAGGAAGGTTGAAATTACCTCTAAGAGCATCAGTCCAACCATCAGCCCAACACCACCATGCCCACTAAACCAAGTCCCAAAGTGCCACGTCTACCCGTTGTTTGAACACCTCCAGGGATGGTGACTCTCACCTGTTTGGGCAGCCTATTCCAGTGCTTGACTACTCTTTCCATTAAGAAATTTTTCCTAATATCCAATCTAAACCTCCCCTGATGCAGCTTAAGCCCATTTCCTCTCGTCCTATCGCTAACTACATGGGAGAAGAGACCAGCACCCACCTCACTACTACCTCCTTTCAGGGAGTTGTAGAGAGCGATAAGGTCTCCCCTCAGCCTCCTCTTCTCCAGGCTAAACAAGCCCAGTTCCCTCAGCCGTTCCTCACAAGACCTGTGCTCCAGACCCTTCACCAGCTTCGTTGCCCTTCTCTGGACACGCTCCAGCACCTCAATGTCTTTCTTGTAGTGAGGGGCCCAAAACTGGACACAGTATTTGAGGTGCGGCCTCACCAGCGCCGAGTACATGGGGAATGATCACCTCCCTGCTCCTGCTGGCCACACTATTCCTGATACAGGCCAGGATGCTGTTGGCCTTCTTGGCCAGCTGGGCACACTGCTGGCTCATGTTCAGCCAGCTGTCGACCAACACCCCCAGGTCCTTTTTGGCCAGGCAGCTTCTCAGCCCCTCTTCCCCAAGCCTGTAGCGCTGCATGGGGTTGTTGTGACCTGAGTGCAGGACCCGGCACTTGGCCTTGTTAAACCTCATACAGTTGGCCTCGGCCCGTCGGTCCAGCCTGTCCAGGTCCCTCTGCAGGGCCATCCTACCCTCCAGCAGATCGACACTCCCACCCAGCTTGGTGTCATCTGCATATGATATATGGATGTCTCTTATCACAGTTTTAATCATTAAACTAGTCAATGTATCATGCATTGGAGCATTGATTCAAAACTAGGACAACTGACCTAATGTGTTTCCACGTGAAAACTAGTAAATGGGTCTTGAGTGGAACCACCTTAAATGTCTTAAAGAAGACAAGATGCTTAATTTTTGCCTACTCTTTCTAATGGTGATGTATTTTTGGTGAGTAGATAACATTTTTTTTCAAAGCAAAAATACTTAGACTAATTTAAAACTGCTATAATCACAAGTTCTTGCTGACACTTTATGTGTAGGTTCTGAAAACTTTTTCCCTCTATTTAGAAATAAAACTGTGGAGCATTGTTCTTGGCAGAGGAGGGTGCTGGCACAGCGTTTCCTTCTCGTCTAAGCATTAAAAATATAATTTCAAGGCTCTCTTGGTGCTTATTAGAATTAACTGCAGTGTTTGCTTGAGATTTTTTTATCAATTGTAGCAGTGTCCCTCTCCAAATCTGATACTGATATTTTGACTTGGGGTGGGTCAGGACTTACTACTATCTTTGTTGTGTATATGTATATCTTATTACTGTGGTATATAACATAAATTAAACAGTACACTGAATGTGTTTTTAACAGTATAATTAAAAATATTTTTAATTACGGCTAAACCTTTGAAATAAAGGCTAATACTCAATGTAATTGTGGTCTATTGTTTCAGATGGCATTAACATTGAAGAACATTTTTAGTGTATATTTTTATGGGATAATATTGAATAGTAAAGGAATTTAATGCTTATTTTTCCCTTTGTTTTTATTTGTTCAGTGGAACAAGTTCCTGTGGAGCCCTACAACATTCCACTGTCTCAAGCTGAGGTGCTGCAGACTGGCAGTGATGTGACACTGGTTGCTTGGGGCACTCAGGTCAGTAAGGCTCTTACAAGCTCTTTGTCATCCAGCAAAGCCTAGGCTAAGGGTTAAAGTAGAACAGAATAGGGTTAGGTGATGTTTGAACAGTGTTGCATTCAGGCTCAAGTGCCAGACAATAAACTGCATCTATCTTCCATCACTATATGCTTGGATAAATGATTGGCAGTGTTTACATTTATATGAAACCTGCTTTTTGTTTGGTAAGATTTTACTCATTTTCAGTTGAAGCTGACTCTGGAAATGTGGAAGAGGTAGCTGTGCAGGAGGCTAATGATTTATCCATGAGTATGAAAATGATATATTTAAGAATGGGGCAGTGAGATGTGACTCCGAGGAAGGCAATGGGAAAGGAGAGTTCAAAGTAGTATGCTGAAAGATAAATATAGATTTTTACAGCATGATTTAAAAAAGTGCAGCCTGGGGTTCCCTTTACACAGAGAGTTAAAATCCACTGAACATGTAATACAAATAGGGATTGATGTAGTTTTGATTCTAACAGTTATATTTCAAAGGTGTTCAAGAACATGATTGGACACCACCCTCCCCGCCCTGCCCCCCCAAATTAAGATGCTCGAATATTGAAAAATCTGGTAAGAAAGTACATGTTAATTTTCAAGAATGGTAGAAAAGAAATCTGAGTCTAGTTTGGAATTACCAGAAACATCTTTTTATTGCCTTTAACCTATAATTAAGAAATTGCTATTTTCCTGGCCTAATAATATCTGAGGAGTTTTTAGAAGAGAGAGTGTAAAAATTTTCATCACAAGAGTATTGAATTGATCTCTGGGATTGTGCTTTTTTTTTTTCTTTTTGTTTGAAAACTGTAATCTTCAGTGCTTTTCTGTGATAGTTTCCTTGTCCTCAGACTGCTTGATCTCCTTTATATCTGTGGTTATTCCTACTAGTCTTTGATACTTTGCACTGGCATTAAATTATGGACTCCTTCAATTTTTTTACTTGTTTATGCAGCAGAAAACAGTTTCTATACTTCTCCATGTTCCCTTTTGAAAGTGCAAATTTTTGCTCCATTTGGATGAAATCTTAGTGTTCGTCGTATTCCCCCAAATTGAATTGATAAAGTAATGGCTTGAAAGCTGGCTATGGAGTTTTAATAATATCCTGAGTTTACCCAGTAGGCCATAGTGCAGAGAGGACTTGGAGTGACATCCTTCGAAAAAACTGTGTGCTTTGGAGCTTGGAAAATGTAGGCCAAGTGTTAAGACAGGCAGTTATTTTGATGTGAATAGTAATAGGACAGATGTGCAGCCCGAATCCAAATTTAGGAGCTGACCAAACCATGGGTGTGGCTGTACAATACAGCGTGGGGACAGATGCTTAGTGCATACGTAGTAAATCCAGCATGTTCTGGATGTGTCAGGCTTCTGCAGATCAAATACGTTCAGTGAGTTTGTGCTGAGGGTGTTTGCAGGCTGTGTACATAAACTTGGAACTTGATTGCTAAATGTGCAACCAATCCAGAGTTTATTGTCAATAGGCAGAGTGATTGCACGTACTCAGTAGTTACTTCTTGTATGATTTTGGACGTTAGGTAGTTGCTTGGCAGCTGCTGCTCTCGTGGGGTTGCCTGATGCTTGCTTTCCTGGGTAGTACCAATGAGGGGCAGTAAAGGCTTTTAGTTCTTCTCCAGTTGTGCTTAGTGTTTTATGGTCATTAACTAATCCTTATCCCCTGTCAAGTAGGTAAACATTCTCACTTACACATCGGAAATGGCAAAAACATCCATCCCATGTGTCATGTTGAAAATTCTCAAACCTTCTTATTACAGCCACAGATGTATTAGAAGTTTAAACAAAAACACTGCAAGCTATATTTTCTTTTTATTATTACCATAAGTGTATTGATTTACTTTTTAAAATTAGTCCTTTGGTGTTTAGCTATTCATATTTGCATTATGTAGATGCCTGTTTAAATCCTTAATCATCTTGTTTCAGCATAGATTTTTGCTCTATGTAGAATTTAATACTGCTCTCTGACCCTCAGGCAACTGACACTGCGTGACCGTGTCCATATTGTTAAATTCCGTTGCCTTCCAGACCAAGATGACCTCATCCAATTTGCTTATTGGGCATGGTCTTAAACAGAAATTAAATGTTGACTTGGTGATAATACATTGCCTTTTCAGGTACATGTGATCAAAGAGGTGGCAGCAATGGCTCAAGAAAAGCTTGGTGTGTCCTGTGAAGTTATTGATCTGAGGACCATCTTACCCTGGGATACAGAGACTGTTTGCAAGGTAAGGAGGTGATGCATGTTAATTTAAAAACACAACAAACCAAAAAAACCACACTAATAACAACAATTTAAATGCAAATAATGATGACTTTGTTCTTTAAGTTTTTTTTAAAGGCCTACGTTTTTGCTCTGTGTTGTATATATTGTTCTGTATTTTTTGTTCTGGATCTTATATGACAAGTAAACACACATTACATGGACCAAACATTTGCTCTAGCATTGAAAGAGAATTATGTTTCAGGGTTCAAAATAATGGTAGCATATATGTTCTTTGCATTGAAGCAGAGGGCAGGATTTCAATCAGACTTGTGCTTGAAAACTGCTTTTCCATGATTTCTGGCTCTTTCTATCATCTTTTCTGTCTTTGGGTCTGAAAAGATCAGGTGAAATCTTTATTTTCTTTTTCCTGCTGTTTTACACCAAGACCTTTATCTAGTTTTAGGTCTGCAATAATGTGCCTTAGTTTTGTTTATCCATATTTCTAGAAAGAAGTGTTTGATTTAAGGTATATGAATTCTTGGACTGGGGAGAAAAGGCAGCATTTACTATTTTCAAACTATCTGGTTTGAAATTCGTGGGTACTTTGAAGTCCTTGTCTGCTCTATGGGAGTCTTTGGTTTTGCAAAGAATCAAAGCACTGGGCAGCTGAAGCTGGCATTTGGATTTCCATGTATTGAGAAACCATGGAAAGTGGTTGTTGTACTTACATATGCCTTGGTCTGCTTACATTCCCGCCCCGCCCCGCCCCATACTGCTTTCTCTTCAGCAGCTAAGAGCTACTGGGGGAAAGACCTTAAAGGAAATGGAAGGGAGAGTGTTTCCCAAAAGTTTTTGTAAATATAAGTAAGAATCCCAAGTTACACTTTTTAAAAGTGCCATTTGGGAAATTAAAAAAAACCACCAAACAGACTGGAGGTCATTAGAGCAAAACCTTGTGTCTGGAAAACTTGATTTTCCCCCTCCCGATTATTATCTAACTTTTTTCCTGTTTTCCTGAATTAGCAATTTTTTGTGTGCATTATTTACAGTGCCTGTAAACTTTTTTTTTACCCTGCATTTTTCACTTACCTGTTTGATGAGGTACTTTCAACATTATAAATTCATGAGTATACTTAGAATCTGCAAAATAAATGTTAGTATTGCTGCTTTGGAAGCACTCTTATAGACAGGTCTTTTCCATAGCTACCTCATGAAAATTAGTCTGAAGTCTCTTCTGTGAAACCATTTTTTGTCAAGCTAATTGAGAACTATGAGAGAAGAGCTGTTACCTGGCTGCCATCCAACAGTACCAATGCTGGTGAATGCACTTCTGGACTGCAATGCTCTGAAAGGTTCTGCAGGTGTTTTTGTCTTTGCATTATTTACAGCATTAACAATTAGAGCATAGCCAAAGGTTTACCCCTCACTTTATAGTAATGGCTCCCTTGATTTAAGCCTCGACAAGTTGTGTGGGTTAGCAGAATGCTTGCTGCTTCCACTCGAGATGTGAGTTTCCTTAAGCTGGCAAATCCACAGTCCTGCAGCGCTGTGGCTAACAACTTGTTGGGTCCTAATTCAATGTCTGCTCATTTGATGCTGCTGGTCAAATCACTTGAAACTTGAGAGGTATCTGCAGCTTAGTTAACTCACACCTAGTAACTGTAGTGTACTGAGTTAAGATAACCATAGGGATGAGAAGAGCCATGGGCTTGAAAAAGGGGTGTGATTTCATCAAGTACCTTCTCTGCCTGCAGTTTCTAATTTAAGGCAATATGATATCACATCTACAGCTAAGTCAGATTGTACAGATGTTTAAATAGGGCAGATCAGGCACACATCGTTATCTGACTCTCTCTATATTTGGAGTATCTTAATTGTGTAGTCAAGCGTTTTGTCATTCTGGAGTTGCTCAGTAAGGGGCTTGCTCTTGGTCAGGTAAAGTATAAACAGATTAAGTGTGATAAAGGGAAAGATGAACCATTGGTCTGCTACTCTATGGCAAAGCTTGAATTTCTCCATAGTATTAATTTTACTGTTGTGTTTGTCTGAGGGACTGCCAGTGGGACTGGATGGAGCAGATTTGGGAGGAAAGATCCATGCTGGGTGTCTGCTATTGGCAGTATCCTATTGTCTGGTTGTGGATCATAGAATCATAGAATGCTTTGGGTTGGAAGGGACCTTTAGAGGCCATCTAGCCCAACCCCCCTGCAGTGAGCAGGGACAGCTTTAACCAGATCAGGTTGCTCAGAGCCCCAGCCAACCTGGCCTTGAATGTTGCCAGGGATGGGGCCTCCACTACCTCTCTGGGCAACCTGTTCCAGTGCCTCACCACCCTCATTGTAAAAAATTTCTTTCTTATGTCTAGTCTAAATCTATTCTTTAGTTTAAAACCATTACTCCTTGTCCTGTCACAACAGGCCTTGCTAAAAAGATTGTCCCCATCTTTCCTATAGGCCCCCTTTAAGTACTGAAAGGCTGCAATAAGGTCTCGTCACAGCCTTACACAGTGGATGTGTAACAAGTTGTGCACTTACATGCATAGCTATGTGTTGCTTCATATAAATTTGATCTTCTCAGTTGAAGTGTTTTCAGTGTTTGTTTGCAGTGTATTTCATGTTACTTGGATGTACTTTCTATCTGTAAAAAATGACAACTCCTCAACACATTTCATCAATATGAAGAGAAACTTTGGCAGTAATAAATCCTTTACAATCCCTTCTGGACAAGTAAAATTATTCATTTTTTTTAGCTAAATTTTTTTCCTTCTTTAAATATTTGAGCTGTCATTCTATGAAAACAAAGCATCTCTTTGAAAGAGCAGTTAAGTCTGTTTCGTTGGATTGGACCTGCACTGAAACACCATCAAGAAAAAATGCAGCTGTTCGTAGGAAGTGTAGAGCTTTAGTTGTACAATGTTTTGCAAATCTGTACTTTAAAAATAGATATTCTGTGAAGATTTTCAGCTTATGTTCTGTCCTGAACATCTTTTAAGGTAGCTGTGTCATAAATAAAAAGATGGAACAGATAGACCTGTTGCTTTTAAATCTGTTAATGGGTTTACTATTAAGAATTGAGAGAGTTATTTCAAGATAAATATAGTGTGCATTGGCTAGGCAGTTCAGTTATTTATTGTAACAAATCCCAAATAGTAAATGTTTTTAGCATTGCCGTTATGTTAGTATGGCTGCAGGCTGGCCAGTCTGATGGGAGGGATGTTAAATTACCTTCTTCTGTAAGTCTTGTCTGTTTTGCTCAGCTGAAAATAATTAGTGCTTTGCATGTGGTACTATGCAACACTGAAACTTTTAAACTTAATTTGTATCCTGGACAGCTTTTAAGGTAATTGCCAACATAGATAGAAGATGGAAACAGTAGTTGTAGCTGCTTGGTGTAGCCTCATCCCAAGAGGAACTGCTCAGTGCAGCTGTTGCAGATGACAGTGGCTAACAGGGTCAGTTCTGGTGATGAGACTTATTATTCCCTTCCTGAGATGCCCATTGTCAAGGACCAAGAGAGTGGTAGAAAAGTTGGCCACGCCAGAGAAAGTCCTCTGCTTAAGTCCTCTTGGTGGGCTTTTAAGTGATAATGGAGTTGCTTTTACTCCAGTCCAACCAATAAGCAAAGCATCAGCTGTTACAGTCTGCCCTTTGCCTCAGACTATTACTTATGTCAGCCTCCATACATCCCAGGACAAGTTATTATGTTTTTCCATGTCTTACATGTGTTTGAAATATGTCTATCATGTCCTTGTCTTGTTGCACGCAAAGGAAAAGGATGGTGCGTGCGATACGCTGCAACCTTATTGCTGTTCTGCTGGTGCTGGGATGCATGGTACTCTGCTGATGGGAGTCTGTGCTGTGATCTTATCAGAGAGCAGGACTTTGGGTTTTGACGTAAAAACACATCCCTCAGTTTTACCCCTGGGAGTGGTGTCCTTTGTGATCAGTACAGGCTGTTGTTTTAGTCCTTGGCCCGCTGGCATGAATGACCCTCAGGAGATATCCTTTCTCTAGAATGGCTCTATCAGCTACTGTAACTGTCTCAAACTTCAACACTCAGACATCTGAAGATGGACAAAAGAAAAATCTAGCCCCTGTTTGCATGTTTACCCATCCCAAGAATTTTTTTTTTCCTCAGTTTTACGGCTGGGAGTGGTGTCCTTTGTGATCAGTACAGGCTGTTATTTTAGTCCTTGGCCCGCTGCTGCTTTCAGTCCCTGCACGTGCACGTCTCCGTTCACGTCTTTCATACCAACCTTAACATACCTGTTACAATTCTCCACGTTATTATGATTCTCCTGTCTGCTGGCTCTTTGTAGAAGGCAGGGAGCTTTATCTAGCTTCTTGTAGGCTGTGTGTTTGTTCCTAATCATGTACCTAACGTTTGGGTTCCTTATGTTCCATACGGCTCAGTGTTGTGAAGCTTTAATAAAGGAATTGAATTTTACAGAAGTCGTATGCATTTGCCAGTCTAATATGTTTTACTCTGCAGGGTTATTTTATTCTTACGCTTACCCAAGAAATGCTACGTTTTTATATAGAAATATTTCTGTGAATTTTCCTTGTCAGTCTGTGTAATTTTTAAACAAGATCAAGGAGCCTTCATTGTCGGGGAATGAGCAGGCCTCATAACCTTAACTTAATTGTTACTATCTTTAGAAATGAAATAACTTTAACATTGAAGTTTTCAATGCAGCTATTTAAAAATGAGATGCTTTACCTAACTGGAAATGTATTCAACTTTAAGACTAATTTGACAACTGTGGTGTAGGCATGAAGAAGGGTGGGCTGAAATGGTTAGTGATTTGGAGATGAGCAGTAATATGTCAACATTTTCACTGCAAATCTAACTGCTTAGTCTGCTTTTGGTAGCTGTTTCTATATAGAAAATTATGGCATCAAAATACATATTTTGGAAAACTATGAGAAGTTATACTTCACAACTGCCACCAGAGGCCTCTTTTTAGCCAAGTTAAGCAGCTGCTTTGACTTTGCATTGTTCCTATGAGCATGTTTATGAATA